TCTAATTCTCACCAGTTAATGAAAGGAATGATTAAGAAGATCAACACACAAATAGGCCTATGGAATAGGATTAAGAGCCCAGAAATAAGTCCAAGCATATATAGTCAACTAATGTTTGATAAGGTAGCCAAGAACACTAAATGAAGAAAAGGGAGCTTCTTCAATAAATGGTGCCTGGAAATTGGAGATTTAAACAGAAAAGAATTAAATTTGACCCTTACTGGCTTCCCCAGTGGCTCAGATAGTAAAGAATCTGCAATGCAAGTGATGCAGGTTCAATTTCCGGGTCAGGAAGATCCCATGGAGAAGGGAATGGCAAATCACTCCAGGATTTTTGCCTGGGAAATCCATGGACAAAGAAGCCTGGAAGGCTACAGTCCATGGGGTCGCAAAAAGTCGGACAGAACTGAGTGACTAACACTTTCACTTTCACTTTATACTACTCACAAAAAGAAACTCAAAATTGACTGAATACCTAAAACCATGAAGATCCTAGAAGAAAACATAGGGAAAAAGCTCCTTGACATGAGTCGTGGTAATGACTGTTTTCAAAATCACACATAAAGCACAAGCAATAAAATCAGAAATAAACAAATGGGACTACCTTGCACTAAAAACCATCTGCACAGAGAAAGAAACTATCAAAGTGAAAAAAACAACCAGTGGAATAGGAAAAAATATTTGCAAACCATATATCTGATAAGATGTCCATATGCAAATATATAACAAACTCAACTCAACAGCAAAAAACCAAATAATCCAACTAAAAAATGGGCCAAAGACTTGAATAGACATTTTCCCAAAGAAGATATACAAATAGCCAACCTGTACAAGGAAAGATCCTCAGCATCAATTGTCAATAGGGAAATGCAAATTAAAACCACAGTAAGGTATCACTTCATACCTGTTGCAATGGCCATCATGAAAAGACAAGAGATGGATGCATGTATATATGGCTGAGTCCCTTTGCTGTCCATGTGAAACTATCACAACATTGCCAATTAGCTATATTTCAAAACAAAATAAAATTTATTTTACAAAATAAAAAGTTAAAAAAAAAGACAATAAACGCTGGTGTCGATGTGGAGAAAAGGGAACCTTTGTCACTATTTGTGGGACTATGGAACACAATATGGTGTTTGCTCAAAAAAATTAAGTACAGATCTACCTTATGATAATGCAATTTAAATTCTGGGAATATATTCAAAGAAAACAAAAACACTAGCCTGAAAAGTTCTGCACTCCCATGCTGACAGCAGCATTATTTACAAAAGCCAAGTGTCCGACAATAGGGGGAAAAAGTATAAAATTAGATGCAATTATGTAAAAGTAAATATAAAGCAAGATGAAGGTTTTCAAATTCAATGAGAAAGGATGGTTTATGTAATAATCAGGACAAAATTAGCCACTCATGTGGAAGAAAATAGATTCCTAAATCTAGTATCTTATACAAAAAGTAAATTTTACATGCATTAAAAATCTAAAGTGGAGGGCTGCCCTGGTGGCTCGGTGGTAAAGAATCCCCCGGCCAAAGCAGGAGACACAGGTTTGATCCCTGATCTGGGAAGATCCCACATCCCATGGAGCCACAACTAGTGAGCCCACGGGCTGCAACTCCGGAAGCCTGCTCACCCCAGGGCCCGGGTTCTGAAACAAGGCAGGCCGCGGGCACAGGGAAGCCAGGGAGCAGCCACAAGCAGGGGGCAGCCCTCACTCACCAGTCAGAGAAAAGCAAGCCAGGAACGAAGACCCAGCACGGCCAAAGTAAATAAACAAACACAATTATATTTTTAAAAATCTAAAGAGGAATATCAATCCCAAAAGGGTAACAATCTGCACAAATACTCTTTCGATAATTCAAGTAACATGCGGTAAACTGAGCAAGAGAACAAACGTAAAAGTGAAGCATGACAATGCAGACAAAATGCCCAAAGAACTATGGACAGAGTTTGTAGTACTGTATAGGAGGCAGGGACCAAAGCCATCCCAAAGAGAAAGAAATGGAAGGCGGCAAAGCGGTTGTCTGAGGAGGTTTACAAATACCTAAAGAAAGAAAATGGCAACCCACTCTGGTACTCTTGCCTGGAAAATCCTATGGATGGAGAACCCTGGTAGGCTATAGTCCATGGGGTCACAAAGAGTCAGACATGACTGAGCGACTTCTTCACTTTCACTTTCAAGGAAAGAAAAGAAGGGAAAGGCAAGGGAGAAGCATAAAGATATACCCAACTGAATGCAGAGTTACAGAGAATAGCAAGAAGAGATAAGGCCTTCTTGACTGAACAATGAAAAGAAATAGAGGTTGTCGTTACCATCTTTCTAAATTCCATATATATGTGTTAGTATACTGTAATGGTCTTTATCTTTCTGGCTTACTTCACTCTGTATAATGGGCTCCAGTTTCATCCATCTCATTAGAACTGATTCAAATGAATTCTTTTTAATGGCTGAGTAATATTCCATGGTGTATATGTACCACAGAAGACCCAGAGGGATTGGGTAGAGAGGGAGGTGGGAGGGGGAATCGGGATGGGGAATACATGTAAATCCATGGCTGATTCATGTCAATGTATGACAAAAACCACTACAATATTGTAAAGTAATTAGCCTTCAACTAATAAAAATAAATGAAAAAAAAAGAAAAAAAAATAGAGGAAAACAATAGGAGGGGAAAGACTAGAGATCTCTTTAAGAAAATTGGAGGTATCAAGGGAACATTTCATACAAGGATGGGCATGACAAAGGACAGAAACAGTAAGGACCTAAGAGAAGCAGAAGAAATTAAGAATAGGTGGCAATACATAGAAGAACTACACAAAACAGTCTTAATGACTTGGACAATCACAATGGTGTGGTAACTCACCCAGCAGCAGACATCCTGGAACATGAAGTTAAGTGGCTCTTAGGAAGAATTACCACAAAACACCTGAGGCAGGTGACAGAATTCCAGCTGAGCTATTTAAAATCCTAAGAGATGATGCTGTTAAAGTGTTGCACTCAATGTCAGCATATTTGGAAAACTCCACATGACCACAGGACTAGCAAAGGTCAGTTTTCATTCCAGTCACATAGAAGGTAAATGTCAAAGAATGTTGAAAACTATCATACAATTTCACTCATTCCATATGCTAGCATTTTGAGCTCATTATGCTCAAAATCCTTCACACGAACCTTCAGCAGTACATGAACTGAAAAATTCCAGATGTACAAGCTGGATTTAGAGAAGGCAGAGGAACCAGAAATCAAATTGCCAATATCTGTTGGATCATAGAGAAAACAAGTGAACTCCAGAAAAATACCTACTGCTTCACTGACTACTTGGAAGCCTCTGACTGTGTGGATCACAAAAAACTGTGCAAAATTCTTAAAGAGTTGGGAATATTAGACAACCTTACCGATTCCCTGAGAAACCTATATATGGGTCAAGAAGCAACAGTTAGAACCGGACAAGGAACAACAGACTGGTTCCAAACTAGGAAAGGAGTGCATCAAAACCATATAATGTCACACTGTATATTTAACTTCTGTGCAGAGCACATCATGTGAAATGCCAGACTGGAATCAAGATTGCCAGGAGAAATACCAACAACCTCTGCAGATAGGCAGATGATCCCACTTCAGTGGCAGAAAAGTCAAAAGTAACTAAAGAGCATCTTGATGAAGGTGAAAGAAGAGATTCAAAAAGCAGGCTTAAAACTCAACATTCAGAAAACTAACATCATGGAATCTGGTCCCATCACTTCATGGCAAACAGAAGGGGGAAAAGTGAAAATACGGGCAGATTCTCTTTTTCCGGGTTCTGAAATGACGGAGAGCTGTGACTGCAGCCATGAAATTAAAAGATGCTTGCTCCTTAGAAGGAAAGTGGTGACAAATCTACACAGCATATTAAAAAGCAGAGACATCACTCTGCCGACAAAGGTCCATTTAATCCAAGGTATGGTTTTTTCAGTAGTCATGTACAGATGTGAGAGTTGGACCGTAAAGAAAGCTGAGCACCAAAGAATTGATGGTTTTGAACTGTGGTGTTGGAGAAGACTACTGAGAGTCCCTTGGACTGCAAGGAGATCAAACCAGTCAATCCTAACGGAAATCAGTCCTGAATACTCATTGGAAGGACTGATGCTGAAGCTCCAATACTTTGGTCACCTGATGTGAAGAACTGACTCATTGGAACAGACCCTGATGCTGGGAAAGACTGAAGGAAGGAGAAGGGGATGACAGAATATGAGATGGTTGGATGGTATCACAAACTCAACAGACATGAGTTTGAGCAAGCTCCGGGAGCTGGTGATGGACAGGGAAGCCTGGCGTGCTGCAGTCCATGGGTTGCAAAAAGTTGTACACGACTTAGCAACTGAACACCACTGTTTCCCTGTCATCAACATTTCTCACTTCACACAGTAATTCTGAACCAAGAATCCTACCTCTCAGCCAAATGAAAAAGAGAAATCCCTAGTATATACTTTTCCTTGTTCCTGTTGGTTTCTGAGAATGCAAGAATTAGATAAAACAAAACTACCTTGCACATTAGATACTAAACTACATCACTTCTGTTCACAATAGTCCTACTTAACTACCTCACTCCCAAGTGTATAGTACTCACGACCAATGTAGAATCTTATTCTCCTCTAAGAGTACAATATTTAATCATTACAGACAAAAAAACACAGGGGTCACATTAACAAGCCTGCCTCATTTAACGCAACAGTTAAACGACTTGGAAGCTGGATACACTAAGCAAGAAGGTGTAACTTCAAGATATCTCTTACTTCACAGTTTACACTGTATGGGCAATATTTAAATATACTGAGGCTATCACTATTTATGAAGTTAGTTGTAAAAATAAAAGTAAACTGAATTTAATCAGTAGGCAAAATTGGAAGGAAAAAAATCTGATGACTAAAATTAAATAGCTCTTAAATCTATAAGCATAAAATCACAGCTATTCAAAAATACTCCCCAAAGTAAAAAGCAAACCATTATTAATTATATAATACCTGTAACACACAGCAAAATGGGCATACGCAGCTACGATCCAGTTGTGATGGCCAGCTACTATTAGCACCTTTCGTGGATCCACAGGAAACCCTGTTGATATTAGAAAAATAAATGCTTTTTGTGTTCTAAAAAAGGGATTTGCAAACTATGGCCAAGAGGCCAATTCCAGTGCTCTGCCTGTTTTGAGAAAGAGAGCTCTGTTGGAACACAGCCAAGCACATCCGTCCACACACAAAGCTGCTTGTGCTCTACAGAGAGAAGGAGCAGCTCCAACAGAGGCCCTCGGGCTCATGAAGCCCACCATGTCCACCATCTGGCCCCTGCCAGAGAAAGCTTGTCGGCCTCTGTCCTAAAGGTTCACAGCAAACAGAAAATCACAAACTTGTTAAATAAAAATACTAGGTGAGACTCTTCAAGATATAAACGAGAGACCTAGATTAAAGAGAGATACAGCAAAAGCTACATCTTTAAAAATAATTACTCAATATCTAGAGCTAAACAGGTACATACTTTGCCTTTTTTATTTATGTAAGCTTTGCTTACCTAGCCTAACAGTTTCTTCTCCAGTTCCAGAAAGAACAGGCTGTGTACCATTTCCTCGAGCTTCACCTTCTGTAAAATTTAGTCCATTTCTAGAATCAGCTGAGGATCTAGTAGTGTTTATTTTACGACTAGGAATACCTATGAAAGGAAAGAAGATACATTTTTTTAAGTTCACCTACCAAAATTTGAAAATTTCATACATTCTTATGGCTAAAAAACAAGAAAACAAACATTATAGCTGAAATTTATCTTCTAATATAGCGATTTACTACAAATAAGTACTATAACAAGATGAAATTTTTAAAAACAGATTTCTGATATTTTTCATGTCATATATTTAATAAGTAAGACTAAGATTTATCATATGTATAATACCAAATCAATCACCACTAATTCATTCATTCTGTCACTAACTCTTTACATTTACGGAACAGTTACTATAAGACAGGTACTGTTCACTAATTTAAACTTTATTAAGCTTAAATTTTAACTTTAAACTTTATTTACTAATTTAAATTTTATTCAGCTTTAGAGCTGAATTGCCCTATATTTTCAAGCATCCCTTATTTGGCAGAGGAGCCTTTTTGCAATCACTTTGAAATGAACTCTTGCTCAGAACTCTGCTACAACACAGGCACAGATGGAAGTGTACTGACTGAAGAGGGGCAGAGATGACAGGCACCTCGCCCTCCTCTCCCCTGTACACTGACAAATCTCTGCAGAGCTCCTGGGGTTCCACAAAGGAGATGATAACCAGTTCTCAAGCACAGGAATCAGCAAATCTGACCAAGGCCAAGTCCAACCTGTTGGCTGTTTATGTAAATGACACCATCACACCCATCCATTTCTGCAGTGTTTAGTGAGTTCAGTTAACTGCCACAGAGATCTTCTAGCTCACAAGCTTAACTGGCCCTCTCCAGAAAAAAGTCTGCCAAACTCCTACCCTACCTTATAGTCTGACCTAACTTCTGTTAAGATTAAAGTTTTCATCTTTTCTAGTAGATTTACAAATGAGATAATCAAGAAACAGATTTTCCTATTCACACATCTGTACCTAATGTAATGATAAAAAGACTTGAACAACTCAATGAACAGAGCAAAAGTACCTGGTGGAGGCAAGTAACCGTGGAAGAGGACACTGCCGCAAGATGAACGCTCCAGCTCTTCACATAAGAGAAGCCTTCTTACTAAAAACATTTCAAAGCAAACTTGTCAAGAGTACATGCAAACAGAAAAACAGTACTCCACTTATTTTCTCTAGTTAAAGAGGATAAGGAAAGAAAAGGGAAAATGTTTAAGTTAAATCAGCTGACAATATCTTTTTTCTATGAAAATCCACAAGAAGCAAGCACTGACTAGTCCATCAAAAATTAGGACCTGATATAAAACACACTTCATTTGGGCAAGTTGAGTGCTCAGAGGGTCAAATCACAAATAAAAAATAGTAGTAAGATACATACCTAGTGGAGTGATTCCATAAAATTCAGCTTCATGTCGGAGAACATTAATACTCACTCCCCTACAAAGAAACAAATTAATGATGTAAATCTTCTAACAGTGGCAGCCTGGATTATCATCTGAAGCAGAAAAAGTACTAGGCTCTTAACATGAACAAAATCATGGGCTTTAAAACTTACTTCTTTCCTAAGATCCTTAATCATTTGAAGTATTAACAATAAAACTGCACACTACCATGAACTTTTTCTTACTAAAAAACCACTCATATATAGATGAACTGGATGACTAAATTAGAGATGAGAGCTTTATAGGGTTAATACAAGTAATTATCAATAAGTATCTAAGAGGCAAACAAGAGCACAAATCATTTATATGGTATTAATTACTTCTGACTGTAATTTCTATACATATTCTAACATCCCCAATTAATCTACAAGTTCCCTGGAAGCACGATCTACCTCTGATCCATGTCTGTATACGTCACCCAGTGCCTACCACAGTGCTTGTATGTAACAATCAGCATGACTCGTCTCATCAAAAACCAAAAATAAAAGCAAAACAGAAGATAGGGAGAAAAAAAGATCAGCCTTAAGAAGGGCTATGTTATCCAGATAGAGATGTTACAATAAGTAAGAAAATAAGCAAAAAAAAAAAAGAAAGAAAGAAACGTGAGAGTTTAAAAGCATTCATTTTAGGTTTCAGTTATAATTGTCCTTATTTTAAAAATACTGCCTGGGCAGAAAGTAGAGGGGGCATCACCTAGGATTCCGTGAAAATTAAAATGATAATAAATACTGTAAACAACTCTGTGCCTGCAAATTTGAAACCCAAATGAAATGGACAATTCCTTGAAACACATGATCTGCTAAAACTCACACCAGAAAGAAACTATCTCAGTCTATATGTATCCAAAAAAAAAACAGATCAATAATAACCTTCCAAACAGAAAGCACTAGGCCCAGGATTCACTGGTGAATGCTACCAAATATTTAAGGAAGAAATTATACCAATTATCTACAATCTCAGGGACAGAAGCAGAGAAAAATCTAATTTATTTTATAGGGCAAGGCCCACATTACTTTAACACCAAAACCAGAAAAATGCATTACAAGAAAATTATAGACCAGTATCTCTCATGAACATAGACACAATAATTCTCAACAAAATATCAGTAAACCAGATCCAACAATGTATAAAAAGAAATATACACCACAACCAAGTAGGATTTATCTCAGGTATGAAAGCTGGTTCAATATTCTGAAATCAATTAATGTACTGTTTCACATCAACAGACTCACACGACCACATCAACAGCTGCAAAGAAAGCATCTGACAAAATCCAACATCTATTCGTAATAAAAACTCTCAGTAAACCAGGAACTGAGGGGAATGTTTTCAACTTGCTAAGAATTTTAAAAAAATATCCTATATCAAGCATCATATGTAATGTGAGAACTTTGAACTAACATCTGGTTACAAGACAAAGATTCTGTCACTACTCCTTTTCAACTTCATACTGAAATCCTTATTAACACAATAAAACAAGAAAAGAAAAGCATACAGATTGGGAAGAAAGATAAAAAACTGACGATCACAGATGATATGACTGTCAAAATAGAAAATTCAAAGTAATGAACCCAAAACTCTTGGAGCTAATAAGCAAGTAAATCAAGGTTGTACAATCTAAGGTTAATGTACCAAAGTCTATTGCTTCTCAATATTCCAACAGTGAACAAGAGAAACCTGACGTTAGAAACAACACCATTTGCACTAATACTCCCTAAAAAGTACTCAAATATAAATCTAACTAAATACACACACACTATATATATATACATACACACACACACACGAAATCTACAAGAAAGAAAACTATAAAACTCTGATGGCTGAAATCAAAGAACGAGAAAAATGGAGCGATATTTCTAGTTCATGGACAGGAAGATGCAGTACTGTTAAGACATCAGTTCTTCCCTACTTGATTTGATTCAATGCAATTCTAATCAAAATCTAGCAAGTTATTTTATCAATATCAACAAGTTGACTCTAAAGTTTACATGAAAAGGCCCAAGAGCCAAAACAGCCAATTTTATGAAGAGGAACAAAGTTGGAGCACTGCCATTTCCCGACATCAGAATTGTAAACCTAGGAAAACCAAGATGGTGCAGTACTGGTAAGACACAAACAAATCATGGAGTAGAACAGAAAGCTCAGAAATAAACCCCATACACACAGTCAACGGATCTACAAGAAGCAAAGGCCAAAAAATGAAGTAACAGATAATGCTGAAACAACCAGACATCAGCATGCAAAAAAAAATTAGTCTAGACACAGACCTTACACCCTCCACAAAAACTAACTCAATGTGGATCACAGACCTAAATGTAAAATACAAAACCAAAAAACTCCAAGAAGATAAATTTAGGAGAAAACCTAAATGACACTGGGTATGGTGATACTTGTTTAGATACAACTCAAAGACATAATCCATGAGAGGAATAAGAATAAGCTAGATTTCATTAAAATTAAAACCTTCTGCTCTACAGAAGAGAGTATCAAGAAAATGAAAAGCCACCAAATGAGACAAAATATTTGCAAATGACAGATTTGATAAGGGACTGTTGTCCAAAGTATACAAAGAACTCCTAAATCTCAACAATAAAGAAACTAATTCAATCAAAACATGGTCCAAAGACCTCAATCAAAGCTATAAAGGCAGCAAACATATGAAAAGATGCTCCACATCATATGTCATTAAGTAAATGTTAATTAAGACAGTAAGTCACTACTACACATCAGTTACTATGGCCAAAATCCAGAATCCTAACAGCAAATGCTGTCAGGGATATGAAGCAATGGCAACCCTAATTCACTGCTAGTGGGAAAGGAAAATGACAGTAACTGTGAAAGACAGTCTGTAGGTTTCTCATAAAACTTACCATATGATCCAGCAACTGTACTCCTTAACATTTACCCTAAGGAGTTGAAAACTTAATGTCCATGCAAAAACCTGCACATGGATATTTATAGAGGCTTTATTCATAAGAGCTAAGACTTGGAAGCAACTAAAATGTTCTCTTCAGTACGTGAATGGAAAAACAAATTGGTATTCAGGTAATGAAACATTATCAGCACTAAAAAGAAGTAACATGAAGGAAACTTAATTGCATATTATTAAATGAATGAAGCCAATCAGAAAAGGCTCCATATTATGTGAGTCCAACTGTGACATTTAGGAAAAAGTCAAATTATGCACATTTCTGAAAGATTAGTGGCTTGTCGAGAGAGAGAGCAACAGGCAGAGAACAAAAATTTTTAGGGCAGTGTAAGTACTGTGTACGATATTATAAAGAAGTCCACATGTCATTATACATTTATGCTAACTCCTAAAATGTACAACACCAAGAGTGAATTGAAGATAAACTATGAACTTTGGGTGATTATGACGTCAATGCAGGTTCATCAACTGAAAAAAAGGAAAAATGTTTCATTGAGGTAAATGCCATTAATAATAGAGGAGGTTGAAAACGGAAGCAGGGGGCACATGGGAAACCTCTGTACCTTCCTCTCAATTTTGTTGTAAACATACAACTGCTCTTAAAAAACAAAAAAAAAAATTCTGATAGGCCTAATAGACACATGTAATGGAAATATTAAATTGCTTTTATTTGAGAAAGTGGTTGTTACTAGTTTAACGTAAGAAAAGTTAAAACTTTCTTATTCTATTTCAAAACTACCTCCGTTAACAGTACAGTAGCTCAGGACACAAATAACACTTTTGGAGAAGACAAATAAATAGGAGAGTAAAACAGAGTGATAAAGGCAATGGAAGAATTTTATGTAAAAAATGGAAGTAGAATATAGTATTCTCTTATCAATTCCCTCCCACTTTCTTTTGGAAGATACTACTCAGAGAACTTAGGTTTGCTAGACTTCCATTAACTGAAATAAAGAAGCAAGTTGTAAGAAAAGCAATGAATACAGATATTTAAACTACTGCTCCCTTTCATGGGTAATTTAGTTGTAGATTAGTCACAAGGACGCTGATGAGAAAGTAAACTTAGATTTTCATCAAATGCTAAAAATTTTACCCCAGAAGTAAATAGTTAATAATAAACTTCCCACCTATCACCCCAAGCCAAAAATTAAACAAAAAGCCCCACCCAACTCTTTTATTCATTTAATAAATATCTATTTAGCAGTTACTATACATAATTTTTCTTTTTTTTTAAACAACACTCTGAATACAGCAAGGAACAAACCAAACAAAAAATCTTTGCTTTCAAGAAGCTCATATTCTAGTGAATATGTCAAAAATTATGTAATATTATACAGAAGTGGCTTAGAAAAACATTTAGAATTCTAAAAGCTGTATCTAAAAAAGTATTAATAGGCCCCAGTAAAAGTTCATTAGGCATATATAAAATAAAACAACAGTAAAATACAAATTAGACTGTAGCTTCCTACTAGGAATCCAGACTATGAAAAAGTTCAGAAATAGTTTAAATCGTTACTTACTTGTGTCAAGTAAACCTGTATGGTTATGCGTCATACAAAAAAACGTATACTACGTGTCAAGCATAATACTTGATCCTGCAAGTATACAGGAAACAATGCAAGCCCTCTTAGAGTCTCATGTAAGACAGGCCACTGGAGCTGTGGCAGTTCAGGAAACTCTGACCACCTGGGTCAGGTGACACAGCAGAGTCGTCAGCCAGATCAAGATCAAGCCAAGGGCAGCAAGGGTTGAAAGCGCTCAAGCAAGAGAAACTAAGCAGGGGCTAGATGAACAGGAAGTGCAAAATCCTTCACCATTAATCCAGCAGCAGATTAAATAAGAGTTTTAAGCAAAGTAATAACTAACTAGATTTTGAGCTGTAGTGTTGGCGAAGACTCTTGAGAGTGCCTTGGACTGCAATGACATCCAACCAGTCCATCCTAAAGGAAATTAGTCCTGAATATTCACTGGAAGAACTGATGCTGAAGCTGAAACGCCAATACTTTGGCCACCTGATGTGAAGAGCTGACTCATTAGAAAAGACCCTGATGCTGGGAAAAATAGAAGGCAAGCAGAGAAGGGGGTGACAGAGGATGAGACGGCTGGATGGCATCACTGACTCGATGGACATGAGTTTGAGCAAGCTCTGGGTATTGGTGGATGGACAGGGAAGCCTGGCATGTTGCAGTTCATGGGGTTGCAAAGAGCTGAACATGACTGAGCGACTGAACTGACTGAATAACTAAATTAGATTTATATTTTCAGGATATAATTTTGGCTACAGTGTGAAAAATGAATTGAAGGGATAAGATTGAAGGCAGGGAAACTGGCTAGGAAGCTTTGAGAGTAATCCATTAAGAAGAGGTGATTGTGGCCTGTATCTATGAGAGAAATTCTGAGGAAACTTTCAAGCAAAAATAATCTTGAGGCAAGGAAAAAAACTTTCCTTCAAAAACTAAGACCAAAACCATGCCTACCAATAAAAATGTACTTTAAAAAGATACATTTCTTGGGGCTCACCTGGTGGTCCAGTGAACAGACTCCCCACTTCCAGTGCAGAGAGCCAGGGTTCGATCCCTGGTAGGGGAACTAAGATCCTGCAAGCTGTGAGGTACTGCCAAAAGTACGTATGTAAAGAAATAAAAGCTTAAAAAAAAAAAGATACATTTCTTACCTTAAGTCTAGTTCTTTTGTCCGAAGAAAATTTAAAATGGGTGCAAATGCTGCTGGATCTCTATCAATAAATATCTGTAAATAAAGAATTACAAATTATATTTTCAAATTACAAACTTCTAACTTTAATATCTATAACACTAACTTAGAGAACACATACTGAATTACACAAAAACTCTATTTCCTTGATTATACTCTTAAATTTTAATGCTTCTAAAATGGAAATGCAGTTATAACCACTACTGTATACTGTATAAATGTACAGTAGAAATGGTGTCTTTTCTCTCCCTGAAAAGCTATCATTAGATTGATATTTTAACATGCAGGGGAAAAAACTGGTATCAAATTAGTCCATTTTCTCATTTCTAATTTTTTTAAATTTCTATTTATTTATTTTTAGCAGCACTGGGTCTTCACTGCTATGCACAGGCTTTCTCTAGCTGCAATGAGCGGTGCCTACTCTCCGGCTGATATGTGCAGGCTTCTCACTAGTATCTGCTTCTCTGGAGCATGGGTTCCAGGGCACTCGGGCTTCTAGTGCATGGGCTTAGTTGCTCTGTGACATGTGCAATCTTCCCAGACCACGGATCCAACCGTGTCCCCTGCATTGGTAGGCGGATTCTTAATCACTGGACCATCAGGGAAGTCCTTATTTCTACCTAACTAACATCTTTAGTCAAAGGGACACTGAAAGGAAAATTTTTACCTGAAATATTCTAGAATTTAACTTCGAAAATAATAAGCATAAATAATACATTTTATATCATCTGATCCCTAATTATTGGTGTTAGTGATTATGATTTGCATAATCTGTGACTTAAACAAATCATTAAAACAACAGTGTACTTTTATAATACGTATTGGGCAATCAAAAAAGTCAAAACTGAATAACACTTTCACACTGCTTTTCAGTTTTGACAGTTTTGCTTTTCTTGACTGTCCCATGTGTATTATAAAAGTACATTTTCACATACCACTATCTGTTTTCTCAAGGACTGAGGGTGGGGAAAAAGGAAAAGTGACAAGAACAAATTTTCTTAAATAAATACAGTACCATGGAATAAGGTCACATAGAGTTGGACATGCCTGAAGCAACTGAGTACCACCCACCATGAAATACTTCTGGGGAAAATGTTTAGAAAATAGGAAATATATAATTGATAACTCTTTACAGGAATGTATGCCAATACTATTTTGAACCAATTACAAAAGCTCTAACTATAAAACTGAATACCTTTTAAGATTTATTTAAGTCAATCAGACAGCAGAATGAAGCAAAAAATATACCTCCTTCGACTATGATCATTATATACAGTGTTATGAGGTTCTTCTGGCTTCATAAATTCTTGCTTTTTATTAGAATCAACCTGAAGTTGAAGAAACACCATAGATTCGTGGGTCTTATTACTGATGTCCTTTCTATAACCTCACACGGACATATTTGCTTATGCTATTTTACTGATCTGCAAATCTCACCACAGCAAATAAACACCTGTGGTCATTTTCCTGGCTCCAAACTGAAAGTCTTATTTGCTTTTCACAATTACTTGACCTGCTACTGTGCATATTAAAACTGCTTTTTAGATAAAGAAATACTTTTTTGTGTGCTGAAATTTAGTAATTCTTTACTTTCCTCACTCCACCATCACTGCACAGGTTCATAAGGTTATTCTCCAGAACAAAAAATTGTAGGGCTTCACAAATTTGCAACATTTTACCACTCTAATATCAAAACGTTCTCCTGTTTACACCTATCTATTCACTGTTAAAGTTTCAATTACTGATTAAAAGAAATATTTCCTCTTGACAATGTAAGCTCAGATCCTATAATTTCTAATGATTATTTAAAATAGTATATGCAATACTCTCTGTTTTGAGTTCTCATCTATAATTACAGAAATAATTCATGACAAGAAATAAAAACCTAAGAACATATACTTTCATTTAGTAGTTATTAAAAGATTACTTCCTCTATCTTCTAAGAGTATAAGGACCAAACATTAGAGCCTTATTTGATCTAATTTAGAAATACACATCAACATTGTTATACTCACAGCACCAGTTTCATCTCGAAGTGTTGAAATTCTTCCACTCAGCAAACTAAAAATCATTAAGACAGGATTAGTTTTTAAAACCTGAGTATGAATAAAAATGTCCTAATTCTTTCAAAGGTCAAAGACCAGTAAAAATGATCACTGTATCTCCAAAGTAAATAATAACGTAAATATTCAAAGAGATAAGATTTTATCTAATAAAAATATTAATGTAACTGGCAAGAGAATTTTTTATTGTTTGAATGAATAATCAACTCTATTTTTTAAAAGTACTAAAGAATTATATGAAATACCTGGAAAAAAAAGAATCTGGAATCCACATAAGTGTTTGTCTTGAGGTACTAAATCTGCAATTAAAAAGTATCTGGTATTACAAGGGAGGACAGGATTTGAAATGTCAGTGTTAGTTAACTTGCTTTAAACTGCTGGCTAATGACTTACAAGTTGTTGCACAGCTCTAGCTGTATCAATTATATTCATTAACATCTCACATTATAAAATTCTGCTTTCATTTCAGAGTTAAGATGATTCCAAGAACTGTCAACAAAACCAAATAATTAACTCACTTACATATAAAGCTTCCTAAAACACTACTTTCTAACATGCCCATCACACTGTCTAAACTTCTCAACATATGAAATTACCTTCAGGTCACCATGTCACCTCTCCAACACCAACTACTGCCCTCTAATAAGAAACATAGCATTTAACATCCCCAAACAATCCATGCTACACCGTCTCAGAACATTTCAGAATCTTCATCGCAGCTGTATCAACCTCATGTTCAGTTATTCGAGTTCTACCCATCTTTCTTAATACCACGAAGGTTTTACCTTCTCCTTAATTGGCTTTTCCGAATAGTCTATCCTATAGTAGCTTTTTAAGCTCATATTAACTCCACTGCACAGAGTACATTTAACACTTCCTTTACACTCTTGGGCTATTCACAATGACTGAATTCATTCATTCAAAAATCACTTAGTAAATACTGTTTTGAGGTTAACTCCATTTGATCAAGCCTATGTATTACCACCAATGGTGGGGGTGGGAAGCATGCTTTATCAAAGTCTACTGTAACAGACCGAGGCAAAACAATAAACTGACATAAACTAGCACGGCAAAGAATGTGATACATGGTTCAACTGATATCTGAATATTTTCATTTTAAGCCTCATCACACTGCACTACGTATTCCTGACTTGTTGCCTCATCATGTGTCCTCGCACAGAAGAGAGCCTTACAGACCTTTATTTTTTCTCCACATTCATTTTCCAGCATTATGACTGTTTTAAAGCAGTTCCTATGCCCATTAGGCAGACTGAGAAAGCAGCCAGTTTACCCAAGAAAATATGGCGAATTTTCCCAAGCGTATGTCTTAGCACGCTCTTTAAGAAAAAAATGAAAAGTAGATTACAACTAAGTAGAGGAAACTGACTTGGTCTAATAGAAACAAACCCAGTAAACAGTAAACTGAAAGATCCAAGGATCCACTGCAAAAAATGAATCACTGCGTTTTGGAAGCCATCAAATTCATTTCCAAATAAGGATCGTTTCTAACTTGTGACCTTTCATGTTCACTGCTTATTCAGCAAATTGTCTGCCAAATAACTCAAATTTTGTTACTTAGAAAATTACACAGGTCTGCTTAAGGTCATATTAGCAATTTAAATTAAAATCAGTAATTCAGATGGGTATGAAAGTGAAAGTGTTAGTCGCTCAGTCCTGTCTGACTCTGCGACCCCATGGACTGTAGCCCGTCAGGCTACAGTCTGGGATTTTCCAGGCAAGAATACTAGAGTGGACTGACATTTCCTTCTCCAGGGGATCTTCCCAACCCGAGGACTGAACCTGGGTTTCCTGCATTGCAGGCAGTCTTTACCATCTGAGCCACCAGGGAAGCCTCATATTATAAATTTAAATTAAAATCAACAATTCAGCTAAGTTTAGTAATCTGGAATTTTTAGGCAAAGGGATTGGATTCTCATCCCCACCAATTTTTTCCCCCCAAACTTTAAAAGACAGGAGAGGAAAAAAAAACCCATGGCTCTAAAACTGTTTCCAAATATGATTTCATGAAAACTACATTTAAATTACACATGACAAGCATAACTTTCTGAAATACATATGAAAAGCCTTTTCTGTTTTATTTCATACCCACAGTATGCCAAGAAAAAGGTCATGTGCAATCTGGTCCTTATCCACATTTATACACTATGCTACTAACTTCCTACTAAATTTACTTGGAAGCAATCAAGTTAAAATTATTCGGTAAAGTTACTATTGATAGCTAATGCCACTAAACACTTGTATTTCCCACTTAATGCTTCAAATTAGTTTAGAAGGCTGGTACTATTAATGTCATTAAATATTTTAGGAAACTAAGCACTAAAAAATAATTTGCCCAAGGTTGCTGAGCTAGACTTCCACTGACTGGTCCCAGACTTCTCTCATGATGCCTAAAATCATACTCAAAGCAGAATTAATCACAAATTGAGCCATACTGTCTTTCTTTCACCTCATTAGACTTTTTTTTGGGTAAGTAATAATATTAACAATTCTAAATGGAACCTCATCTTCTTTCTGAGCCATCCATGAAGTGTTAAATAAATCATAAAAATCAGTCATTTCTATAACTCCTTTGAATAGATCCATTTTCCTATCCTCTCTTGTGGAGAGTGGGGAGATGCTCCCTACTCTGCTCAAAAGAAAAGCTCCTTCTGAGTTTTAGGCTATCACTTCACAGCTGACATTAATTATATGCCACAGGTGGTTCTCCTGGGGGCAATTCCTCAACTTCAAAGACAATCACAGGAGGATTTTTTTTTTCTTTTATAATGCCTCAAGTGACTATTAACCTGTGTTTTACTCAAGATAATTTCTAGATCCCTCCTAGTTCTAAAATGCTGCAAGTGTCTATGGTCCAAAGTAACTCAAAATATCTGCAGAGAACTTGGAACTGAATGTTCTATTTTCTATATGTCATCACTTATTTTATAGATTTATCCTAGCAAGTCTCAAGTTTGGGCTTTTTAAACTTTCTTATTCCTATGTAACAACTCGCATCTGCTTTCTAAACTGTCCAATCTGATAATATATTTATTTTGTATTTTTTAAATCATGTAGAAAAATTTAAAATCTGATAAAATCAAATTTCATACGTAATGAAAAGTAAAATGTTCAGCTCCAAGATAACTCTTATACAGTTTAAAATTTTAAACTCAATTCTACAATCATTAACAAGAGTTAATTCATTTTTAAGCCATTTACTTTCAAACACAGCGAACACTTTTAGAATTAAATTAGAAGGTCCTCTATAGCATTCAAAAAGTATATGAACAATCAACAGAAATTAGAAACTAGGGATGACTATAGTGCTACTCTTTTGAAGGCCAGTCCTGGCAGGGTATTTCATTTTTGCATTCATAAGTTCCAGAAAAATATCTACTTCTGCTATATTGACTATGCCAAAGCCTCTGACTGTGTGGATCACAACAAACTCTGGAAAATTCTTTAAGAGATGGGAATACCAGACTACCTTACCTGCCTCTTGAGAAATCTGTATGCACGTCAGGAAGAAACAGTTAGAACTGGACATGGAACAACAGACTGGTTGCAGATAGGAAAAGGAGTACGTCAAGGCTGTATATTGTCACCCTGCTTATTTAACTTATATGCAGAATACATCATGAGAAACGCTGGGCTGGATGAAGCACAAGCTGGAATCAAGATTGCCAGAAGAAATATCAATAACCTCAGATATGCAGATGACACACACCCTTATGGCAGAAAGTGAAGAAGAACTAAAAAGCCTCTTGATGAAAGTGAAGGAGGAGAGTGAAAAAGTTGGCTTAAAACTCAACATTCAGAAATCTAAGATCATGGCATCTGGTCCTACCGCTTCATGGCAAATAGATGGGGAAACAGTGGAAACAGTGACAAACTTTATCTTGGGGGGCTCCAAAATCACTGCAGACGGTGACTGCAGCCATGAAATTAAAAGACGCTTACTCCTTGGAATGAAAGTTATGACCAACCTAGACAGAATATTAAAAAACAGAGACATTACTTGGCCAACAAAGGGCCGTCTAATCAAAACTATGGTTTTTCCAGTAGTCATGTATGAATTTGAGAGTTGGACTATTTTAAAGAAAGCTGAGCACCGAAGAATTGATGCTTTTGAACTGCGGTGTTGGAGGAGACTCCTGAGAGGCCCTTGGACTGCAAGGAGATCCAACCAGTCCATCCTAAAGGAAATCAGTCCTGAATATTCATTGGAAGGACTTATGCTGAAGCTGAAACTTCAATACTTTGGCCACCAGATGCGAAGAACTGCCTCATTTGAAAAGACCCTGATAGTGGGAAAGATTGAAGGAGGGAGGAGAAGGGGAGGACAAGGGAAAAGATGGTTGAATGGCATCATTGACTCAATGGACATGAGTTTACTGAAACTCGGGGAGTTGAGGATGGACAGGGAGGCTTGGCATGTTGCAATCCATGGGGTTGCAAAAAGTCGGACACAACTGAGCTGACCTGAAGTTACCAAACCTGCAAAACTTTCATTTTGGTAAACTATCCGTGTCTTACATTAGGAAACACCAATCTTCTACTTCATGAAACCGAAATCTATGTAGCAGCAATAAAGCTGTAAATTCTTAAAGCAACAGTTTTGCATGAGGGATGAGGGAAGAAAAAAGAGTGAGCAGAGTAACAGTGAGGAATTACTGTCTCCTGTGTTGAATTCTCCAGCACACTTAGAAAACTATTAAAACACTACACATTGTTGCCACTACGGTTCACAGTGCTGCCGTTTTGCATTTTTAAAAACACTGGTTAAAAACTCCCAAACTTTGAAAACCTTGTATCTTCTCCAACACAGCAAAATACATTGAATTCCAAGGCGCTTCATGGCTTATCTCTTACCTAGCCTAAAACGGCAACCACCCTTTCCTTCAAACAGAGCTGCCAAACTCGCATTTCCGAGAGGAGTGACTCATAAACCATATCAAATCCAAAAGCATACTATTTTTTTTTTTTTACCCCCAACAAGCTCATTAAGACACACAGTAAGGGAACGGAAGACCAGAAAGATGAGAGAAGAGCTTTCGGTCTGTTTACTAGGAGGGCGCCACACGGGGCCACTACCAAGGCTTCTCAGAACCAACTCTTCAAAACTGAAGCTTCCAGACACACGGCGCTACAAGTAGAACAGATCCTTCAGAGCCATGAACCAAGAAACTCTGGAAATAAATAAGAGCGCACCGCAAATCGACAACGCTCCCTCCACCAAAATTACTGGCGATTAAAAACAGCCCTCAATGAGGCGTTCTCGCCCGAGCAAACAGATGTTACCTTGTTGACCAAATAGAAAGGGAGGCAGGTTCACCTGCAACAGCCAGACCACAAGGCCGGGCTTCGACAAAATGAACTCAAAAGTACGCGCCAGGTTAGGTAAAGGAAGGTTACAGAAGGTTCCCCGGGCAGATCTCCTAAAAAGGGGAGGATCGTGGCCGGCGTCCTAGGAAGGCGGCAGCGCGGCCAAGGGCCCGGCTCTCAGGGACTCTCAAGGCCGCCTGCCCCTCCACACCCTCCCGGAGGGCCCTGCGCTCCTCAAACCGCTCGCCTGCGATGCCGGCCCCGGAGGACCCTGCCCGCCGCATCCCAGCCCCGAGCCCCTTCACCCTGGCTCACCTGGTCCCCCCCACGTTCAGCTGCACGATCTCGCCGCTGCCGGCCGCCGCCGCGGCAAAGCTGCCGCAGTGCCCTCCGGCCATGTCCGGAGGCTCCGGCGGCGCCCGCCGCCCTCCCTCCCCGGCCGGGGCCGCCGAGCCCGCGGCGGGAGCCCGAGGCGGCGGCGGCGGCGGCTGCAGGGCCAGCAGGGCGGCGGCGGCCGAGGGGCCGGCGGCGCGCGGAGCCTCCCCCACCTTCTCGCCGGCCAGGCGGGGTTCCCCGGCCTCCGCCTCGTCCCCTCGGCGCCCGCAGAGCGGGAGGGCAGCCGGGCCTCCGCCTCTCGCGGCCTCCAGGCCGCCGGGCCGGGGCGCCTGCGGTCAACGCGCCGCAGGCCCCGTCGCCACCGCCGCGGCCACGGCGTCCGCGCGAGGAGGGATCGCCGCGCGGGACAAAATACGGCTACGCCGGGCCCTTCGCCCGCCGAGGCCCGCGAAGCTCAAGGAGGGGAGAGGAGCGGCGGGGTGGAGCTCCCTAGCCCCGTGGCCGGCACGCCGGGAGGGCGGGAGGAAGGCGCTCCGGGCCCAGCGCCGCCCCCGGGATCCTGTTTCTTCCCTCCCTCCCGCTACAATCGGCTGCCTTTTAGGTTTCAGATTTTCCAGCCCTGGCACTCAAGATTTCTCAGATTGAGGGCAAGTCTGGACAAACTGTCCTAAACATCTTTACTGTCTCTCTTTGTAGCCAGGAAGGGTTAATGTTGACCCCACACTGGATCTTTTCTGTGACTTTAACTCTTATTTTGCCTCTTTTGTTATTATGGACTTACAGAATCGCCCGCCTCAGGGAACCCCAGGGAACCCCTCACCCCCAGCCCTCCACAACCCTCCCTCTCCCTTTCCCCCTCCCCTCCCCCCTCCCCTCCCCTCCCCTCCCCCTCCTCCCCCCTCCCCTCCCCTCCCCTCCTCCTCCTCCCCCCTCCCCTCCCCCTCCTCCCCCCTCCCCTCCCCTCCCCTCCCCCTCCTCCCCCCTCCCCTCCCCTCCCCTCCTCCTCCTCCCCCCTCCCCTCCCCCTCCTCCCCCCTCCCCTCCCCTCCCCTCCCCCTCCTCCCCCCTCCCCTCCCCTCCCCTCCCCTCCCCTCCCCTCCCCTCCCCCTCCCTTTCTCTCCCCTCCCCTCCCCCTCCCTTTCCCTCCCCCTTCCTCTCCTTCCTCACCCCTTCCTGGTCCCCCACACACCTTCAACCTGACCCTTGGACTAGGGTGACTTTGGCTCCACTGAGAGATAACCTGCCCCCCTCCCCCCTTACACACACACACACACACACTCACACTTGACCCTTGGGCTAGGGTGACTGTTTGGCTCCACTGAGAGATAACCCGACCCTGCCCACCTGTGAAGGACTGTGACATTCTTGAGTTATTTGGGTGGGAAATGGCGCCTCTCGTCCGCTGCTTACCTGTAGGGCTGCTTACCTGTAGGACGGAGACTTTCACGTTTGGGGGGCCAGAATCCCAGATAGCTGTGGCATCTTTGTTTCTTGACAGGAGGGGAGATAGTTTCACACCACCTGTGAGCTGACTGTAAAGAAATGAAACTAACAGATTCCCCCTGCCTGAGGCTTGCCATTCCAGGAGATATTTGCAAGAATTAAATAACCTTTTTACTTTTGTTTCCTCACCTCCACGAACCTCTGAGCCATAAAAGAACCTGGCATCCAGACCCCAACGAGCTGGTTATTTCCAGGCGCTACTCCACTGTCTTTTCTGTCAGCTAGCTAGCCAGCCTCTGAATGAAGTCCTATTCCTTGCCTCAACACCTTGTCTCTTGGATTTATTGCCCTATCCTGCGGTGACTGGACTGAGCTTCAGTAACACCTTCTCCACGTGGATGTGGGAGAAGAAAGGGGATTGTCTTAGAGGCAGAAGTTGTGCCTAAACGCGTACTATTTACTGTGGAAATGCGGTGAAAATTTGAGGGTTTTAAAAGTTTAAAGCACTTACATTAGCAAACTCCTTACCTTATCCTCTCCCATCTCATCCCTACTCTCCCAAGAAGTTTGATTTTATTACAAACAGGGGAGGAAACAAAAGACCAGCAAAGAAAGGTAGAGCCCTAGGCTGTGTAGGCCCCCACGCTCCTGACTATAATAAGCGGTCAACTAATGTTACACATACAGATACAATTTTTGTAAATATATTTGTTTTTGCTTTAAGTAGTACATATTGGAAACTAAAGCTCTAATGGCTACTAAGATATATCTTTAAATAGTAACACTATAATACCTTGTGAAGTAAAATTCATATTTTATGGCAAGAGGGGGAAAGTTTTAAGATCAACACAAGGAGCATCTGCCTTCCCCAGACCTACTTAGGAGAGAAACTTCCTTCTTAATCTTGGGGCCACTCACTTTATACCCATAGATCTGAATTGTGTAAACCATCATTTAGTGTACAGTCCTCTGTCTCAGACACTTGTATAGTTGTGCTTTGACCTCTTGTGGGCAGAACAGTTTTCTATTTCTTTTTTAATCTTTGGGGATTTTCTAAGTTCTTTTTTATGTAATATATACATATATACTTTTTACTGAAGTATAGTTGATGTCTTCATTTCTTTCTTTGATCTACTGAGTAATTTCTTTTGTCAACAACCCAATTCCCCTCAAGCTAGCAAAGATGGTATCCGATGTTTCAGAAGTTGTTTGTGGTACTAAATCCTCAGCATGAATCATGGTTCGTATTGTTTTACCATAGGAATTCAACGTGAAGACCTACATGATATTGTTTTAAATTTTCATTATTATAATAATTTTTTAGTTCTCTGCTGGCAAATATGCCTGTGATATGATGACCCTGGGCTTCCCCAGTGGCTCAATGGTTAAAAAAAAAAAAAAAAAAAAAATCCGCCTGCAATACAGGAGTTATAGGAGACTCAGTTTTGATCTCTGGGTCGGAAAGGTCCCCTGGAAGGGAAGGCATGGTAACCCATTCTGTATCCTTACCTGGAGAATCCCATGGACAGAGGAGCCTGGTGGGCAACTGTCCAAGGGGTTGCAAAGAGTTGAACATGACTGAAGCGACTTAGCACACACAAGATGACCTTATCCAAATTTGACTTAAAAGAGGAAAGCAGTACTTACAGATATAAGATAAATATTATTTACTCTCAGTTAATGATGGTACTGACAGCTAATCTATATTTAAGGATTTATCACATGCTAAGTGATTTAGATATTTTCTGTCATTTTTTATCACAAATATTGTTTTACTATTTCAAAAATAAGTAGGACTTAAAATGATCAGAAAACTTGTTCAAAATTATGTAGCTGGCATGTGGCATAGCAAGAATTTGAAGACAGTTTGAAACCAGGGCACAGCATCTCATATCTTCACTTGATTGTTGTTATTCAGTCTCTCAGTCGGGTCCAGTTCTTTGGGACCCCTTGGACTGCAGCACGCCAGGCTTCCCTGTCCTTCCCTGTCTCCAGAGTTTGCTCAAACTCAAGCCATTGAGTCAGTGATGTCATGCAACCATCTCATCCTCTGTTGCCCTGTTTTCCTCTTGCCCTCAGCCTTTCCAAGCATCAGGATCTTTTCCAATGAGCGGCTTTTCACATCAAGTGGCCAGAGTATTAGAACTTCAGCTTCAGCATCAGTTCTTCCAATGAATATACTGAGTCCTTCACTTTATACTGAGAAGATAAGGCAGCAGCAAGCTAATTATTTTTCACTTTGTTCTTAGTAGCTCAGTCGTGTCTGACTCTTTGCGATCCCACGGACAGCAGCCCGCCAGGCTCCTCTGTGGGAATTCTCCAAATGCTGGAGTTGGTAGCCTATCCCTTCTCTAGGGGAACTTCCCTACCCAGGAATTGAACCAGGGTCTCCTGTATTGCAGGTGGATTCTTTACCAGCTGAGCTACCCAGGAAGCCCTTTCAAATAGTGTTAACTGTCTTTGTTCTAACCCTTTGCTTTCAAATTTGAAGGATAGAATTAGGTGGTTAAAGAAGACCATTTAATTATCCCTGGATGTTTAATTTTTCCACTGGAAAAAGTAAAAGAGCATTTATTAACAGATTTTTCTCTTTAATAAACTTAAGAGCCAACACAGATTGGAATAAAGCCTTGTAAATTTTTTTTAAAAAGTGTAAAATTATTTGTTACAAGGCTTATCTTTCTTGAAATAAATAAATGAAACTATATTCATCTCATGCATAGTAATTATTAACTATCAGTAAGACGTTTCATCAGAAGAGGAAAGACCCACTATTTTATAAAATAAAATGGTCAGGGCTTTTTGATGTGTCTGGATCAGTGTGAGTCTGAAGGGATTTCTTACTCATAAAACTTAAAGTTAGGATATGATTTACTCCTTAAAAATAAATAAGGCAGTCCTGGTGGCTCAGTGGTAAAGAATCTGTCTGTCAATGCAGGTTCAATCCCTGGGTAAAGAAGATCCTCTGGAGAAGGGAATGGTTACCCACTCCAATATTCTTGTCTGGGAAATCTCATGGATAGAGGAGCTTGGTGGGCTATAGACCACGGGGTCGCAAAAAGTCTGACACTAATAATACTTTCACTTGAACAAATCAGAACATTATTAACAAAGATATGCAGCCGAATGGGAAAAAAATATTAATACTACCAGACAAATGATTAAAAATCCAAAGCACATGATTACATATATCATTTGACAAATTAACTGAGAAGACAAAATGTGAAAAATATGGAAAGTATATGAACAGGCAAGTGATGGAATGGTAACTAACAAAAACACTGAAATGTTTTCTCAAACAGCAGAGAAAGATGTAATTTTCAGTTACGAGACTGGAAAAAATTAAGAGGTTTGGTAGATACCTAGTATTGAAATGGTCACATACATGCACTGTTCGCTGAAATTTAAAGGGTACAGTTTGGGGACGACAACTCGAGAGTATCAACATTTGAAATGTATACACCCTTGACCCAGCTCTTATCTTCTAGGAATAGATCCTGCAGAACTACTGTAGAAATGCACAAGGTACAGATCAAGAAGTGATCTTGATACGCTACATTTATTGTTGCAGTATTTAGAATCAGTTAGACTATTCAACCATAGGGGAATGATTTTTTGAA